TATATGTATGGCTAGGAGGAGGCCCACTATGACTGTGAGAAGGGATCGTCACATAATTATTCCCCTTTTGCATGTATATATATATATATATATATATATATGTGCCAGTGCATGTGTACCTATGTGTGGAGCTAGCGTGGCCTGAAGTGCCCGCGTACTAAGGGTCAGTCGAAGGGTGGGGTGAATAGAAGGGAGGGGATATCCCTCGCCAATTCTTGTTTCTTTTCCTCGTTGCGATTTATCTTGGTGGAACGATAAAGTTCCGGGCGGAAGGGTTAGCGTATTGCTGGTGATGCGCCTGACAACTCACCACCACTCCAAACTCCCTCCTGCCCTAGGGGTCGTCTTGCCCCGCACTCGTTGGGACACCTCAAGGTGCTGAAGACGGAAAAGTCCTCAGGCCGGTTTTACGCGCGCTAAAGGGATTACCCTCATTGGCTCGCGCTTCAGCCAACGCCGGAGCGTCGAAAGGTGACCCCCTTGGCTCAGAATAGGCCATTTGGGTGTGGGCACTACACAATGCGCGGTCATCGCGGCTACTCGCGTGAAACTGCATAGCAAGATAGTATGTGTAAGTCCAGCGCCCTCGTGATCTTATACTAAGTTCGCGCGAGACACTCGTCGCATCCTGCACTAAAAGAGTTATGGGTCAGGCGGCGAGATCACGAGTGCGACACGGCCACTAAACTTGGGGGTCTTGGTAACATAAAGCGGCACGTGGGAGGAGGACTAGCTCCGGTCAGCCTTTGGGGGTCCGTGCACGGACCTCATTATCCCGGACGCCGGGTAACCTATGGATAGGATACCGGACCTCCTCCGCGCGCGCGTCGTTTGGGCTTATCCACCCCCTTTCCATTTTAGAGGGGCATTAGCTAATAGGGGTCGGACTGAGTCTCCTTTTTTGCGTTTTCATGGTTGGACGTTATAGTCCGTGGCGGCCGTCAAAGTCAAAACCCTTGATGTTCGACCGCCACGACAGCTTAAAGCTGTCTACTCAACCCCTCTCCACATGGTGCAGAAGAGGGTGTGGTCTTCAACCGTGCACAACGGTTGTCTAGCGTCGAGAGATTAACCCTCAAGGCGCGTGTCAGCCGACACTTGAGTGTCGAATGCGAACCTCGAGAGTAACGAGGACCTCGTGAGTATGGGTACTACATAGTACGCCATTACTGCGACCTCGTGCGTGCGTTTGCATTGCGAGTCGACATGAGTTAGCCCTGCGTCCGCACGACTTCTATACTGAGTCTCGTGCGACGTCTATCTAATTTCTGCATCGGGAAGTTATGGGTTGGCTACCAAGGGGCTAGGAGCATTGTCGCATTGTTTGCGTTGTGTTGTTTCGTATGTGTGTGTGCGTGTGTTTTATTATTGTGTTCGTAAGGTGGTGTGCGCGTGGTGTGTGGGATGCGTCCCAGTCGACCGAGTGTTGGGCCGCACTTGGGACTCCAGCCTCCCAAAATGTTGGTTCGCGTGCGGGTCCGATAGGCGTATTACCGCGCGTACCCCCTATGCTACAGCGAACGAGAAACGCCCTCGACTGGTCCACCTCTGCGATTGCAACCGAGTAACTTTCGTACTGTGGACTGGTAGCTCGGCGAGGATACGCCCACTGAAGGGAGGCGACAACTCCCGTGAGGTGGAGGTAAGTTGTGCCTCGCGTAGGCCCTATCCTGTCGTAGGGGCTCACGAGAGGTATGGCTAGCGCACTCGGCCAGAGTGGCCTAAGGAAGCTCCATGCGCGTGTTCGTGTCGAGGTTGGTCCAACTCCTGCGTGACGCGGCCGAGAGGGTCCCGCGCGGCTATGTGTGGTGCCGGACCGATGCGCTCGACAGCGGCCCCGTAGGGGCATTGCCACATCACTCTCGAAATGTGCAAAATGGGAATGAACTTCTCGTTAGAACATGACCAGATGCACCCGCCAGGGCCTAGCTCGTCTGCTTGAGGTCGGCGTGGCGACAAGCCAGTGCGGACTCTACATCGGTCCCATAGGGCCTCGCCACACCACTCACCAATTGCGCAAAATGAGAATGAATTTATATGCGTAGAGTGGAAAGGAATTGACTTACCGTGAGGGCACGGGTGCGCAACCTGTAGTTCGTTTGTTTATGTGGTTCGGGAAGGGTAAGGTATTGATTATGTTGTATGTATGTTTTGTCATGTTCGCTATACAAAACTCGAAGAGTGTGTGTGGGGGGGGTGCCGGTTGGTGCTTTATTCACGATGTTCATGGGACGCTGGACCTAGTTTCCAGCAGGTGGTGCTCCCCATCAGTAGACAAGAGAATGTCTATGTGTGTGTATGTGAGTGTATGTGTGTGTGTGTGTGTGTGTGTGTGTGAGAGAGAGAGAGAGTGTGTGTGTGTGTGTGTGTGTGTGTGTGTGTGTGAGAGAGAGAGAGAGAGAGAGAGAGAG